GTGTGAAATTGAAACTATGGAGTAATTTGCGAGTTTTATGAACCTTCATCTTTCTACATGATTTATATATATATATATATATTAAAAATATATAAAATATATTGAAACTAACTTTCCAAAGATATTAATGGTGGCTATCTATTTTTCATCGTTTCCTTTTGGCGTTATTATTGCACCAGGGCGAATATTTATAATATGATGAAATAATATTATCCTGACATCGCTGGACATAACTTTACGTCAAAATAAAAACGAGTTCTTTTTTCCCGCGGCATATTAAAGTCCATTTTGACATTTTTTTGGAAGATAGAAAAACATCATCACAGTAATACGACTGAAACGTAAAGCAATGATTATAGCATGAAGGTCACGTTAACCATTTTTCATTTCACATTAACCATTTTGCTTTTCAACACTACACTTTCGCCTTTAGGACTCATACGGTTTTGAGATATGGTACCTTTGAATGGCGCTGATGTGGACGTAATGTCCATAGGTGTACACTATCAAACAGGTATTGATAGAACCGGAGTGTAAACGAGGCGATCTCATATACCTGACCACTATCCGAAGACAATATTTCGGAGCACTCAAACGCGTTTTCTCTACTTCAGCGCTCCCTCAGAGGGAGTTTGTTATTGGAAAACGAAAATATAGTAGCCAAAGGTGTCATATGTTTAGAAGGAAGTTGAGTGCCAATAGAAGTCTTTCCGGGACCAAGCTATGGGACATTGCTGAGAGTATTTCGTTCTAAATCTTCAACAGGATTCTCAGTCTGGACGAGCTGTCACAACAAATATGGAAAAAACGGAAACAAATCATGTTAGAAAGTTTCCGAATTATCGTAAGTTCACAGATGAGTTTAAAAGGTTGTTTTGAGTCTAGAGGGTTTACGACAAAAATTGCGCCGAGAAACCTGTGTCTCGGCTAAATACATAGCCGTAATCAAGTAGCTCAGGAACTCATGAACGTACTCTGAGAAGAGGCGGAATCTCTGGGTCGTGTAATTACAAATGACGAGATTCGAGTGACAGCAAAAACATGATTATATGCGTACTGCTTTGGAAGCGAGCTTAGACTGAGCAAAAGTGGAAGGTGTCGATAAAAATATTCACTATAACCGGGGGTCACGGTGTAATCCGGCATAACAGGACAAACTTTATAGGGTTTTTTTGCCTTAGCAGGGATTCGTCCATTCGCCTATCGTAGTATTGCTAAACTCTGTGCCGCTCCGAATATCCAATAACGATGCCCATTAGACGGGACGGAAGGTCCTCGAAATGATTGAAATAAAAATCAATCAGCATAGCGTAACAAGATTGCCAATTAATCTTTTCAAGACCAGACAACTGGACGATACAATCGTCGTAGTGCTGTAAGCCGGGCGGGACATACCGCTGCATAACGACGTTGAGCGTTGCCAGTCCAAAAACCAGGACCTTAATTGAGGGAGACAGTTTGGTATGGCTAATTAACTGTGTTCGTTACATGGAAATAGCAAATGTGGAACTCGTAATTTCAGCGCTGGCAAACTTATCACTGCATAAGGTTGTAAAATAGCAGAAACTGTACGTATCTGCTATTAATAGATGCAGAAAGAGCTACTTTAATGAATGACTATATGATGTAATTCTGTAGGCCTGTAGGAGAAAGCCTAGGTAGATTTAGCCAGTAGGCTAGTGAGGCAAGTCCTTCATGCTATACCGAAGAGAAGATAATTCTAAGGACTTATCGATGCAAAGAGTATAGCTAATAAGTGAAAAAAATATTTTACATTAAACACGCAAATGTTCCAGTGGCTAATGTCCGCAAACTACTAATGACGACCTATTTAGTACCACATGTTAACCAAAAGAGGAATATTACATACAACAAGTGACAAATGTAGCCTGCCTATCGTTCTAAATTGTTGTAGATCTATAAGCTGCCGCGAAAACGGGAAACCGATTTATCAAAAAGGTCAAACGCAACAAGTGTAACTGAATATCGAGACTACAAGGGGGCTCCAACGGGGTGGATGTTGAAGTGGATGAAGCAATGTCTAACGGCGGTACTAGACATAAAACTCAACCTACTTTAAATTTAAATCGGATATGTAGGATTAAGTAAATTTTGGCATTCGCGCGGTGTGCGTGGCTTGAGGTGAACTCTGCACCTACAAGCAGATTAAATTTGTTTGGGCTACATTGTCTATTTTAAGGTAAAATCAACTATTTTTTTTCCAACAGCAGGATATATGTGGGTGCGGTAACGGATTAGCAGCAACCGCAGAATAGGATGATAGACCCAGAATAAATAACGAGTTTATATTGAAATACGCAACAGAGTAAATAGGTTACAATTGCAGAGTACTACGTACGATGCGACTACTAAAGAAAGCATATAATGGTTTTTCAATTTTTTCGAATTTAAAAGCATATTTTAGTAAACGTTGGGAAATCAATGCACGGGAAGTCAAAAGCAAAAATTGGCGCGTTAACGGAAAAGTGGGAGGAACTGTAACAGGGGTTTGACTAAGATTGTATCCCAGACTGGAGATAAGCTTCGTATCAGCATGTGCTATTAAATTAGTTTCGATTTATATAAATCTTTTCAAATTTTGTCTCAGGCCGAAGGGTACGTGCAGTGAGGCAACATATTGACTATGATTGCGGGTTATTAAAACACCTCAAGGACGGCATTGTTAAAACACCACAACAAGGTTAGCATGGCGGGGTAATTATTGCCTAAAGCGTGAAAATAAGAGAATAGCATCAAAGTAGTAGAGTTACCAATGTAAAATGACAGGTTGACAAAATATTAGCATCAAGAATAACTATAACTATATATTTAATGTAGTGTTTTGTTTAGACAAAGCCCAACATACACTTTATAAAATCTCGTATGATGCTTGAATTATTGATAGAAATACATATGAAGCCGCGCAGTACCACAGTGCTATAGTTTACGCGTAAACGTCTCCGTGGGCCCAGGCTCAGCGGGCGTAACCGTACAAAGCACATGAGAGATATTCCGTAGCGGACGAGCGTCACACGTCGAAATGGATGTTGTTCATTTAAGATGAGATAGACGTAACGTCATTAGGATAATTACGCAACGTAAACGTTAATTGTCTATAGACTAAAAAAATCGCGCCTGTATCAAACAGGGTGGGCAGACATAAGGATAAGCAATATTGTAGTATTTAAACTTTGTTGTTGACTGCTCATTTGGAGAGCCTCGACCTTACTTATGTTAAATATTGCAGTGGGCTAATTAGGTTACCCCCGATAACCTGCAACATAATGTCGCAACCACAGTCAGTGCAAACGTCAGACAATGTTATAATATGTTGATTCCGACGAACGTTACGTCAGAATCCTATATTGGTTGCGTATCTCTATTATATCACTTGATAATTGGCTAAGCAGTCACGAGTCATCGATACGCTTATCCTATGTTGGAAGTAATTGCCTCATGAATTACTTTGCTGTACAGCAGTGTCCTGTAGTAACTCCAAAGCTGACTGGCTACCTGTAGTAAGACACCTGCATGCTTTGGAGCCAACAGCAGTTTAATATCACACGCGTATCTACGTGCGGAAGTTTGGTGGGGTTATAAGGCTGTCTACTGTGATATCCTTGCATTTGAGTTCCATGGACACGGAGCTAAGGTGTAAATCTGTAGTTGGCAAATCATAGGTTTATTGTACTCGAGGAGTAAGTAGAATTTTTCTAGCCTATTTTTTTTTCTAGCTGTATATTAAGAAAGGAACACGGCAAATAAATATTCTAAGTGATATTATAAAACTTCACTACTTAGCAAGGTTGGCCGAATTTCAACTGGCTGGATCTTGCAACTGCTCACTCACTTAAAATGTGCGAGTAGTGTTGACAAGGGCATCGGTTTCTTCTATATCAACCCTGACCACAGGTCAAACGAACAGGCTTTCCGTTTGCGATCTGCCCCTTCCATGCCAAAGCCTAGATCAATCAGGGTACGGGCAGGTGGTCTGCCGAGTAGTTCACTTGTGAGCTTTTATTGTGGACGATGCGCTTCATGGAAATAATTCATATAATCGAATCTAAATCCTCGTAAAAGATGCTTTGAACTGGGAGTAGGAGACGCTTTTAAGTAATTCCCATATTTGACAAAGTGCCAAGAGACGTAACGGGACTTATGGGACCAATATGTTTTAAAAAAAAATATTTGAAAATCCCAATTTTTTATTTTTATCGGTTGAGCAATATAAATCAAGTTGGACTATCTAAGTATTTTTCCTGAAAGGTGTACTGTTCATGTTTACATGGCCCTAAGAAACAGGTGGGTCAAATGTTCCACAGGATCTGTTATCCGCGCTAAAATGAATTTGTGCCTTCTTAGATATAGAAGAAATCTCTACTTTGAAGTAAATAAGTTCTGGAAAACGAAAATGAAAGATGCCCTATGTTTAAAACGAAGTCCAGTACGCACAAGCGGTGCCAACGGCTTCTCAGAATCAGGCTGTCAGTGTACAACTCGCAGCAACGACTTCGTGTTTTATGAAAAAGCCTGGAAGACAGTCCTCGATTTGGGTGATCCGCTAGAGAAAATATGGGTCAACACGTGAAGAAAGCAGAAAAAAGGTTTCATACGGGTTAGGTTGGACCATTTTAAAATATCAACTGATTGACAAAGATTGCTACGAAAATCGTACTGAACGGCTTGAGTTGTAAAAAAAATAGAGACCAATGATCAGCCAGTTCAAAAGAAACGAGGGTCGGTCTCACTGAGGCATGTTGGCACATAACCGAACTCTCAATGCTTTTTTTTGAGCCAGCAGTATCTATGTTAAAGCATAAAAAGGGCGTTTATTTATATCATGCATTCTTTGACTGACAAATGTATCTAAATAAATACAGAAAATGTAACTGCGCGGTATTCTTGAAAAGGCGTTTCATCAGAGCCTACTTTTTCCTAGTCGACTCCTGATCTAGGCCGTCTCTCAACCCTGGTTCTAAAATCTCTTTGCACATGAATAGGAAAACCGTGAAATACACGCATTGCGCCTCGTAACCCGGCAACAAGCATCTGCCGTTCTCTGACCTTCATTTCTCGTTACGTCGAAGATATTTGGCGCGAATATCCAGATTTAAATATATTATTTATGCAAAGGTACGTCGAGATTGTATCTCTGCCCAAAAAAATAAGGTAAGAGAAATTTATTTGTTAACTCATTTCTAAAAAGCTAAATAATTAACTTGGTGTTTTTTGCATACTTGCAGCACAGTAAGTTGACTTTGTTCGTGTTGCTGAAAATGTTTGATGGCTATTGTAGACTGGAATAGGCAGCTTTATACGTAAGAACTTACTGTGAAGAATCAAGTTTGGCTTTATACAATAGATGGAAATGGTTAAAATTACTGGATTAGAAGTACTTACGGCCAACCGCGGCCCAAGGCAGGTACAAAGTCATAGTGAATAATGTTATTGATCATCAATAACAAACACAATAATTTATAGAAATGCGTGCATATAATAAACAGCACAAGCTTTTCTCCAAGTAGATGGGCGGAACACTCCGGTCTAGAAATTTGAGTTAATGTTATTAGTTTGTGCTGCGTGATTGCACTAGTTTATGCTACTATAGTTCCGCTGGCCGAATAACAAATAAGGAATAATATATTGTCAATTTTAAAATTGCGTGAATGATTTTTTCAGGCGACAGGATTCACGCAGTGTGATTATGGATTATTTGCAGCAAGGTAATTTCTATGGGAACTTAGAATAGCTTCTCCTGAGTAATGCGATCATTACGATGAAGTAACGACTACGACGATGAAGTAATAACTGCGCCAAATTGACGGCTCAGTGATACAAAATGAGAAATTATAGTATCGAATAAAGTGACAGAAAAGCCGAACAGGTAACCGCAGCAGGAAAGCTTTTTGAACCACAAACTACGTTAGAGTGGGCGTGACATTAACGAAGCAGACCCATTAAATGAATCAATGACAAAACGGGCACGAGGCGAAACCCGTAGTTCTTCCTAGTTTACATATTGCGTACATTGAATTTCTGTTTGCCTAACTAAAAACGGCTCACGTAATTTTGCATTACTTTTAAGCTTTCCTAAAGTGGGCGCACCTGTGTCATTAAAGAGGCTGACTGGGAAAAATGATACTGTAGTATTTAAGTCTTGTGCACGCGATCTCTTGTCGACTACCGGATTCGAAAGCAGCACGCTCTGGAGCAGACAGCGGTTTAACATAACATGCACGGACCACGTGAGGAAGTTTAGCACGGCTGTAAGGTTATCTATTGCACGACCGTAACAATTACGCTTAAGTACTAACAATACTTCGTACCTACATATCGTTTGTTAGCAGTGACGCTTATAAATCTAAAAAAAGACGTACAATTTTTTATGCTATGCTACAGTTGCCGGGAACCTCAAATTATAATCGTGCAGAAATTGTAGGTTGTCTGTTCAAAGGAATTCTATTTAAACCGTAAATCGACTCCTTGGCCATCCGCCTGTTTTTTATAACTGTATACTTGTGTATATCTTATCTACTGTAAATTTACGTTCGTTAGCATGTAACAAGATACGAAACGGTCAGTACGGGTCAGCCACAAGGAACATTCGTATGTTTAAAAAAAGCTCGCAATTTTTTTTACAATACATCACAATTGGCTGCGAAACCTTAAATATCAATCGGATAAAATTCAAAAAATAATATATTGGAAAAGAAACATATAGGAAGGTTTCGCTACTTGGCCGTGTCTGTGTCCTAAAATAAATTCGATTTCGACCGACTGGCTCTCGCAGTTGCCTACTTCCTACACGCGTACGGACCTGGCTGAACAGTGCAGCGCTTTTTTTTGCGTATCAGTCCTGATCACGGACCAACCAAGAACAGAATCTCCGCTTACGATTTGCCACTTCTATATCGCTGCCTAGATTAAGCTTAGGCTACGGGCAGCTGGTCCACGGCGGGCGAAAGACATCACAAGTGACCTTTATTTTTATCGATGCGTTTGATAGTCCTGGATTGAACGTCAGCAACGTCTTTAGAGAAACTTTTTTGCTTGACGAAACGCCAACCGATGCCGTGTCTTCACGGACACATGTTGTAACCACCTGGAAAATCTGTAAGCCACGCTAAGATAACGTGCTTTCAGATGTAGAAGAAATTTGTGCTCAGTTTTGCAGGCAGCTGAATTGTCTACGCAGTATTACCAATTCGTTACGCCCGGGAAAGATATGGCGTGTTTATATGTAAAATTGTCGCAGCGTTTGTTCTGATTTGTAGCCTGTTTCGGTACTGTACGAAAAAAAACTAGGACGTAGCCTTATATGATAAATGAGAGGTTCAAAGAATGAACAAAAATAGAGCATAATGAGAATTGATGTTTGTTTGATTAACACATAAATTTGTAACTGGCACAGTTTCTGCTAGCGACCTATGATAGCAGTTGAGAGCTGTCACAGATGTGTACACAGATGTGTACAAATAACAAATAGGAAATTACCGGTTGATGCTTCATTGGGCGTTCAGCCCAAGAAAGTCATGAGCGGACAATCGCGGAATGTATGCTAGCTGGAGGCCGCTCTACTTTGCGGCATTAGCTTAAAACTTTAAGCTCTTTCTATCTTCCAGGCGGATTGGATTTTTACAAGTACGAAAAGAAACGTGATTCGTGCCAAAGTAGCCAAACCGAGCGGATTTACGGCTCCATGGTGCCATAAATGGCACAACGCCAAAAAAAAAGATGTAAACCCATCATAATCAAAATAACTAATTGTTCAATACGATTCGTCGTTGCGTAAAACGCAGAGATTCTTTGTTACGGACTTGAACGAATCGCGTCATGCATTGCGCAGTCTTTCTCTGATCGAATAATTCAAATTAGAACAAAACGTTTTCTTTTATTGCGCCTAAATGGAGTTCTACTCGTTGTTCCAGCTAGAAGCAGAAGGCAGCATCCCTGACCCATCCATTGTTACATTTCAGCTGCTACAATCATCCGAGATGAGTAAATAACATTGTTCAAGATTCATTCACACGGATGAAATAGTCCATTGACCAACTGCTACAGGTATTATGAATATATATTATATGCTTGAACTTATATCGAGGTAGGTGTGCTTCGGGCATCTCATTGGGCCTTGATAGCTTTCCTCTCCTGTCGAAGATACGTCTTGACATAGAAGGCCACGAATAGTGCAAGCAGAATGAACACGTTTATCATACCTGGTTAAGGGCGATAAAAGAACAATGAAGTCGAGTTAGTTTTGAAAATATGATTTCAAATATCAGGCACATGGTCAGTGGTCCTCAAAAGGCACTAGAGGAACAAAAGTCTTTAATGTTTATATGTGGCCTATTGATCAACAAGCGGATTATAGAATAGTCGTTTATAACGAATGTTCACTATGCTGGCCCCCTACGTAGAGGTCAGGCTGGTACGCGTGCAAGGTATTGATTTAATTCGACCGCACATCGCATATATAATTTAACTATAAGTAAGTTAAGCCTATTTCGTGGGCTGTTCGTTTTAGGCAACATAAATGTTAGGCCAACAATTTTAACTGAGCATCTAGAGATATCTAAGATGACCAACTATACTCGAAAGAGCGATATACTGACCATTTATTAGAACTCCTTTGGAATAACCGCAGTTGTTCGGCTGTGAGTACGCAACCATCCATTGCGAGATTACTGCAACGAACTGCATTATCTGTAGAAGTGTTAGGTACTTTTTCCACCATAGATAAGGACGCATCGAAGGGAAAGTTGCTAGCAGGAAATAACTATACATCACTATGTGAATTGCTGCGTTGACAAGGTAGGCAAGAGTGACCATATTCATCCATCCTGAAATGGCAAGCGTAAAGGGGTGTTGTTTAACTACTGCAATCATTAAATATGTTACTCATCGAGACAGTGCGGCCGAGTGTACGATAGCCGCGGTATTTTTTTGAATTTTTACTATATATATGTATAAAATGAAGCTTACCTTGTTTCTGATACCATTGCCTGCTCCTTTACTTTAGCTGAATTCATTCGAGCTGCTCTACCAGAAACGTGGGCTTGCACTGCATATTTTTTTTACTTTTTTTTCCATTATTTACCCAGTGCTGCATCCAAGGAGAAGTGCTTTTGGGCCAGCTCCTTGTCAGGCCGTTTTATGGGTAACTGTTAACCACTCGGTTACAGCAGACAACGTCTCATAGCAAGTTATCCTTTTTTTTTATTACTATTATGCCAAGCGATTAAGGTCATTCTGAACAAAAGGGAAACAAATATCAATTTATTACCAATATTACCTTGTCGCATGTACAACCAGCAATTACAGCATACGGTAAGATGATGAAATACGTGCAGGAACGTGACGTGCGACTGTTTCTTGGCTAACACGAAAAACATCGTGTCGAGATAATCAGACAATCGCACGTAGAGGTAGTAGTAACCGACTTTTTGAAGCCGCAGCGAATCAGTATCCGTTTTGATATTTGGAGGCTCGCAGACGACTGAGAAATTTAGCTGCAAAAAGAAAATTAGGGTATGGAACACCAATGCTTACAATGAAAAGGTGACAAAAAATCTTCAGCTAGTCAATTCGCTTCTTCGAACGATGGGATGTATTTAAATGCGGTTCTAATGTTCACAGGTATAACGCGCTTAAATGGAGGCGCCCAAGAGCCGCCTATTTGGGATGGCCGCTCTTCAGCTGGGAAATTGGCTTTATCTAGCGCTTAGACGTCGTCAAGCGTGCATTAGATAGAGACGTTTGTTTGTTAACGTACTTTTACCAATGTGAACAATAGGATGTGACGTTTGTTTGAATCAACATGAACTTTTTACCCTGTTCATTCTAAGTAAAACTAGGTAATCAACGATTTAGAAAACGTAACGTATAGGGTTTACCTTGTAGTATGCAAGATAGGTCGTCATACCGACATAAAGTATGTTTGCAAATATCTGAAACGCGTTGAAGATACGAATGTACGGCTTCACATGTACGGGCTTGCGGTTGCGCATGAAACGCGGTCCGATATAGTAGACAAACGCAAGGTAGACGGCTGAGATGCCAAGAAGGTATTTAGGTGAATCATAAAAAGGATATCCAATAAATCGGGGATCCCGGCCATTTTCGTCGAGTATAAGACTCAGCAAATCATTCTTCATGATGACGCAACCACCTTCGTGCACGAGATGGCCCAAAATGGTCACAATGGACGTGTCTGGTTAGCCAGGATTCCTACAAAAATGGTCAATATAATCCTTAAAGCGATCACGTTAACAGAATACAACGTCTATCTTGTGTACGCTAGAAATTTGAAAATAAGTTCTTTATTCACTTCATTCTTTTTTAAAAATGCCCAAAAAGCCACTAGGTGTTGTGGGTCCATGTGTTCAACCAAAATCGCAAGTTGACATCTTAATTCAATTTGCCAATGTCTTAATATGAGACATAAACAAATTACCATCGATTAATCTGCATCATTTATTATTGGTCAGGAAAAACAACAGGTAATTTCGACATCTTGCAACTACGGTATCTGCGTGTTTTACCTATATATCTAGCTAATCGTTTCCTCAAGTGTTCTTTTTTTTAGCAGTATTGTTTATCTGTTAACCGCATCCGCAAGTCGAGTTTTTCTCTGCAATTAAATCATGGAACACTAAAGATGCATGCTTGGTACAACCCTTTTCCTTCTCGACTGCGTGCTTGTCATTGTTTGCACAGCATAGAGAAATGTATGTCTGTAAAAAACTGTGTCGAGAATAAAAGTAACATTTTTATTAAGATACTAAGCAGACGAAACCTTTATTTACATGCCTGGATTATTTCGGTTCTGAAATGTCCTGATTTTGTAGCACTGTTTACCTTTTACTCGGTTTTGTTAGTGGCGCTGAATCACAAGACCTTCCCGAAGCATTAGTTTGTAAACTTCGTTTAGGAATAGCCGGCCTCGAAAATGCTGGTCATGGTCCCATATTACCGTAGAACCATGACCAGTATTCTTTCGACTGCAGTACCCACTAAATGCATACATTCGTCTGGTTGGTATGAGTTTAGCTGTTACTGCATTCACATTCCGCTATTCTTAAAAGATACGCGTTTTTATACTATTTTAACTCCAGGGGAGAAATTCTGTACATGATTCAATGCCAAGCTCAGAAAAGATTTACTGTATGCCTGTACCACTTGCTGCCACTCTTCTTTCGTTATCTTTACGACATCCTTCACTTTGTTTGACGAATCGACTCTACCATGGTTTCTGCCCTAAATGGGTGCTCTATACTTTGTGCAACTTCTCCTTTTTCCCTCAAAGAGTACACAATGCTTTAATGTGTGAGTCACATTGCCGCATACGCCAGCATTGCTTGTGATAGACAAATCGCATGATGTTTTTTTTTTCCCATAAAAACGAGTATAAAAACATCAACAATAAAAAAAAGGAAAAAAAGACCACTGTCAGAAGGTCTGTACCTTCCGGTATCAATCCCCTAGCCCAACCTGTATTGTACCTTCTGACTCCATTTGCAACTTTTCGAAGATATTCTGACAATCTTTTAAAGTAAGCATCTAACTCTCAGGTATTACTTGCCGCTTCTCGACAATAATATCCCATAATATCATTGTCCTGTTTCCGTCAAGGATCAGGGCCACCTTTGTTACACTAAGAATAAGGGTAATTTCTTCGACATCGAAAATCGTATCCTAGTGAAAATCGCACGAAGGAACTCGGCTGCACGCGTTAAGTTGTCTCAGGATCGAGAGTTCTTGTTCTGCGCCATACGAAAGCACTGCACTGGGTGCCGCAATATTCTACCGACCAGTGCAAACTCTTCTCTACATAGCGTTCTCATACCACGTATATTCTGTCGTCTTTCCTAAGCAATGAGTACCCAGCACACTGGTGTATCATTTGATTTCGAGAAGACATTTAATGGACATTTGGAAAAGATGGAAAATGTCATATTCTGCAAGCTGTTTATTGTTGACCGCTTTGTTGTCTACGCTGACGTACATTATAATGACTTATATTTGCCAAAACTCACAATACAACTTTACTAGCAAAACCACCAAGGGAGTGCCGCGAGCAATAAATCGGCGATCTGACTAAGCTACAAATAACTAAAAAGTGTCTGACTAATTAAATCGGAGACATATTGCTTATTACACTAAAGTTGCACTTCAGTTGGTACGATAACTTATTAGTTCGTACAAACATTACCCTAGATCATTGTGTTGTTTTTGGATCCGATGTGGCACCAAAGCTGCGTATCAGACAACACTTCAACTTGCTCAAACTATGTGCGGGTATCTAACAGAAATTTTTGAAGGTCTATAGTTAGGAAAAAACAAGTCTCCAGTTAGGAAAAATGTAGGTTCACTGTTGAAACAAACGCTATTAACTTAGACTCCTTATTGTATACTTATGTCCTATTTATTCTAATTCTGCCGTCGTTCCTTAAGTACAACAAAGCAAGAAGAAGCTTGTCTTTAGCAAGCAGCATAAACTTGAAAAGCACATTATTTTCTATAGTACAGTTGGGCAGGAAATGTACAATATCAGGCCCATCAAATGGAAAAAAAGACATACCGTTAGTAACACTCGAAAAAATTAAACACTCTGCACAATATAACAAAGCATTACTTGTCAATGTGTCGTATATAACAAAAGCTATCTAATTCCAATCGATTCCTGATTCCTGAGATCGCTCTCTCACAGACATTATGCGAGCGAGCGTATCTGGCAGGTGCATTGGTGCATTTATCTCTTCCGTATCAGCCCTGACCACTGAGTAGACAAACAGGATTTCCGTTCGGAATCTGCCCCTTCCATGCGATGGCTCAAATAGCAGCTGGAATACGTAATACCTAGTCAGCAAAATTTTAGTCCCGCAAATGCGCTTAACAGAAATAATCAAAATGGTCAGATTTCAGACTTCTCCGAAAGAGATCCCAGACCTTTCTACGCAAACTCATTCGCTTAAACAAAGGATGCAAAAAGATTTGGCGATTGGTCTCATTTGTTTTTCAGCTCTGTAATCAGAAGAGTGGCCTTTTATCGGTCGGTAAATGCATATGACAAGTTGGATCATTTGACGCTCGCACCGCCTTCGAGTCGCTTCATGAATCATGTTGAAGTTAATACTTATATTGTATATATTATATATGTATATATATATTGTTATAGCGTGTTTATTTATTTCTAGCTAATAAGCAAGTGAACCGTTTAGTGCAATATTGTAACTTTGTAACCTTCGAACCTTTATGTCAACTTCATCAGAACCAATTCTGAAGTTACTCCAATGGCGTTGTCTCTTTCGCTAGTGATGAGGATGTGCGTCAAGCGGAAGCCAATGTCTCTTGATGCGAGAACGTGGCTCTGTGTGAGCTATTATCATGTTACTTCCTTTCGGTGAAGCTAGACCTTATGACAGTTTGATTGTAAAACATTCATCAATAACTCAAACGATTTCCGTTACCCTTTCACCTCTACATTTCGACAGCAGGATTATCACAGGACATAATTTGATATTTCTGAATCATACTTCACTCAGATTGCACTATTAGATCTTACAACACGTAGGTACTCGATAAGGTTTTCGCATTGCCAGGTACAGGTGACACAACTCTATGTCAGAGATAAGATATCCATTTGGTGTTCGATTTTCAAAAAATAATTAACTCCTAATAATGATAAAAATGAAAAAGTTCGCATATATAGACATTGACTATGGGCCGGTTCACTGTTAATCGGTCGCCAGTAACCAATGAGGCGCGCAATACTGAAACACCTAGGGGCAAATGGTCAATCAAAAAGTGATCGATTGGTGGCACATTTAGCTGGCGTATAATCCACGTTCAATAAAGCATTTAAGAGCAAACGTTATTATTCCAAAGAAGCCTGTAGTATATGTCAGAAGGGGACCCTTTGTTTTATACTGCTGACATGGAAGAGGTTCCCTTTGTCGCCTAAATAGTAAATCTTCAAAAAACGTTAAAAGAAAAATACTCGTTACAAAAAAACCGGAAAAGGAAAACGTTCAAATAGACAACACGCCGAGAAGAGAACATGGCATAACTTCAAGAAGTAATTACTTTCCTCAAGTGAATTTGTAAAAAACGTGTGGCGCTACGTCGAATAAATCGGCTGGCCGAATTGTCAGCATCTTTAAAGCCTCAGTAATAACACAGAATTATTAAAATTGCATTCATAATTTTATTATATGTCACTAGAGTGTTTCTCTCTTATGTATTATTTTGTAGAGGGTAAGCAAACACGAGCATTTCTCACCCCTTTGTCTTTTTTTTTTTAAATTATTCTATTAAGAGTGATGTCATTGTCCAAAATGGCTGAGCAAAATTTTCTTATATATGAATTTACATGACTAGGTCGTTAGTTCATTAATTAGTTACTACAAAACCTGTTTTAAAGCGGTTCTGATCTATACCGTATATCTAAATTCGTACACGTATATATTTAGGAGCTTCGGTATCTCATTGGACCTTGGTAATCTTGCCCTCTGATCGAAGATACGTCTTGATATAAAAGGCCACGAATAGTAAGAAGATGATGAGCACGTTTATTATACCTGAGCAGGAACGACATGATATATTTAGGTTAGTTGATGGCAATGTGAATCGTCCAAATGTAGATAATAGTAATACTTTCCGTACCACTGCTAGTTAGAGAACCGGACTATTATAGACGGATGTACAAGGGACCAATTAATAATCAGTAGGTAAAATCCACCGACGGTGTCAGCTTATATGGATGGCCTGCATCAAATCGACCCTGCCTTGCTGCCTGAACAACAGTATTCAAAACATTTCGACTAATATATATATAAACTTATTTACATCATCTATTCGATATATATAACAATTAATTTAACTTAAATACCCTGTATATATAATATGATAATATATACGAAACGAGGGCTTCTATATTTTATGATCAACAAACGACATTATTTGCCATTTCCTGTAGAGTAACGCCATATGTTTAATATATTCGACACGAGGTTAGAATGCTTTGACGTCCCAAATAATTAGATCATCTGGACGTTTTTTTGTGTTTTTAGCGTACCAATATGGAAGCCCTTGCACTGCTTCCATATTGGTACGACGGGCCTTATTGCTTTGTTGTCTTCACCTACGACAAGCAGCTATGCTCGAAAAATCGATATACCGACCGTTGATTAGAACCCCTTTGGGGTAGCCGCAGTGGTCATGCTGTGAATAAACGATGACGAACTGTGAGATCATTGCAATAAACTGAGCCATTTGTAAAAGCGTTAAATGCTTTTTCCACCATAGATGGCGACGCATCGTGGGAAATGTTGCCAACAGGAAGTAAATATACATTATTGTGTGAATGGACGCGTTGATAAGACCGCCGAGGGCGCCGATGTTCGCCCAACCTGAAATGATAAATGTAACGAGAATCGACTTAGCAGGGGCATCTATCCAGCGAAAGTTTGACATTTTCCATGTTTATATCTATTACTGATTGACTGATTGAGCATTGTTATTAATAAACTGTGTATAGATTCTAATTCCATTCGTTTACCACAAGCGAGCCTATCTCACGTGGATGGATGGATGGATGGATGGATGACGATTGATTATATCCAATAAAGACGTTTTTAAGATACAGACGCATACAGATTGAGCGGGGTCAATTTAAGAGTGGCCATTTCAGTGATAGTTACGGATGTATTTGGACAAGAAACTCGTTGGCCTTTGCTGTAGGTCGAGCGTCATTAAGGTTTCTTGTGAATGAGGTGGAAGTAAAGCGTTCTTCACAAACAGTTATCTCACCCTGCCGCATGTACAGCCAGCCATTCAAACATACGCAGAGATGATGATATACGTGCAGGAACGTAACGTGTGACTGCTTTTTGGCTAACACGAAAAACACCGTGTCAAAATAATCGGACAACCGCACGTAGAGATAATAGTAACCGATTCTATGTAGCCGCAGCGAGTCAATGTCCATTTTAGCATCAGGCGGTTCGCAGATTATCGAGTAACGTAGCTGTAAAAACACGACCGGGATTTAGATCATTGATGATCGACATTGATAATGTAGAAGGGTTGATTCTCACTGCCTTGGATGAAGTCAACATGAAAAAGAATAGCTGTCTTCTCGACCTGGATCAACCATTTTTCGACGAAAACTAATGTTTATGTATTGTAAACTGCGCAACCTCGGAAACATTGACGAACGAAACGAAATTTTCAAAATGAATAAAAGGGGAGGCATAACATTTTGGAGGTATAGCAAAATTATCATAGTAATAAAGTGTCTTACGTCGAATAAAAGCGTAAAAATAAGAAAAGTCAAAAATGTAATTTACCTTGTAGAAAGCAAGATAGCTCATGCTGCAGACGACGGAGATGTTTGCAATTATCTGATAGGTGTTGAAGATCCGAATGAGCGGCTTTATAGGTAGAGGCTTCCGATCGCGCATAAAACGCGGCCCAATATAGAAGATGAACGCAAGGTAGGCGGCCGAGATGGCCAGAATGTATTTAGGTGAATCAACAAAAGGATATCCAATAAATCGAGGGTCCCGACCACTGTCGTCGATCAGGAGGCCTAACAAATCAGTTTTCATCTCGGTGTAACTAACTTCGTGCGCGAGATTATCTTAAGGCGCAATCAATACGTCTGGACAGCCAGGATCCCTATAAAATTAATCAATATAATTTTTGAAGTAACGCATGGATTGTCGGGCACAGATACTTTCCACTTATATTAGAACTGATAACGAAAAATATGTTGCATATACACATGTGTATATATATATAGTAGGAGAGTGAACTGCGGTGTAAATCCACACCTTATAAAATAGGCTTCTAGTTGGAGTCATTATAGATTTACTGTTGAAACAAACACCATTTGACTATGCATAGCTCTGTTATATTTCTGAATATAGCTGCAGACATACAGTGATCCACTCCAAGCCTATAACCCCTTACTTCCCGCGTCGAAATGATTCCCTACTAGTAAGGGCTAGGATTGGTAGGACGATTTTAGATCTCAGTCGCGCGAAAACAAATTGTAAATGGGTAATTCCTCATCACACTCGAAGGAGTAAAACACTTGAATCAATGGCGTCGTCAAGCAAGATAAAGCACTGATTGAGTCTTGTAATCTTTCACTCACTTCATAGGCGTGGTCTTGTATAACAAATGCACAAATCTGTGTATCTCTGTTATGAGTGCAACCTAAACAAAAAGAACTTCTGATTAAGACCAACTTCAGTCGAAACGCAGTACTTCCTCTCATCCAGAGTCTTGAATCTAGACTATGTGCCTACCAGAAACATATTGATTAGGTCCGATCTAAATACTCTTCGAAAGAGCTTGCATTGAACGCCGGTATCACTTTTAAATAAGCCCTCTACTCCACTAGTGGTCTCGTCGTAAACACATTTTTGGGAACCAGCAACCTTTATAACATAAAATACTGGTCGTTGCGGTACCTGCTCTGATACCGGCAAATGAGGACGTCGCTCAGAATTAAACACAACTATCGTACTGTGATACTTTCTGTCATCTAAAGATAATGTACTCGACTTTTCTAGCCAGGACATGCATTTAAATAGGCCCTCAGAACTAAGAACTGGAGCATAATGATATACAATGGCCTTATAACATCTAATTTGCTTTGTCCATCGAAGACCAAAACGTAATCAGCGAAGTATAGTCCGGTATAATTGATACTGGATCTTCCATATGTATCATTACATTTTTCGTCCAGATGTTTTCTACTACAAAACGAGCATGTGCAAGAGCTTGCTCGACTGTTTTAAAATAAAATTGATTTTTTTAGATAGCCCAACATACTGTTCGCTTATCTATTACACATCGCGATATTTTATACGTTTGCAAACGGTTCGGGTTAGTTGTGCTCTTTTTTTTGCCTGCCTATATCATAGCACTGATAATAATTTAACCTTTTCCGCAAATGTTAATGCCGTAACTAGTTTACATTATTATTTAAGTATCGCACAGACTGAGGTTCGGAGCTTATCTGAACAAGTCATACAGTAAACGAAATGTAAAGTGACAATAGGTAGTCTACCTGCAGAAGTATTTTGTTCCAAATTATCCACCTAACGCTTCAAGTTATCTAGTCGACTACTGCATAATCTGCAGATTACAGTTGTAAGCGACAGGAGCACATCATGAAGATGTTCGTTGTGTCGCCTCGCCGGGCCATCGGACAAGGTTGAAATGCGTCATTTCGAACTAACTATAAATTGCTTGCAAATATGCCCCTTGTTTGTCTAGTATTTCAAAATTTAACGCCCGCCACTGAATGTTTTGCCCGCCCTTCTAGAACAAGCAATTGCAGGATGCGTACAGAGCTTAGATCTAGATTCAGCTTATAGCTGCGGTCGATGTCACATATCTGCCAGTGCTGCTGTTTGGTCTGCTTAAACCTGTGTTTGTAGCGACAAATTTTTGGATATGTTTACTTTTATCGTTGCTGTCACTTCCCGTGGGCGGCATTTTTTCTGTCACCTTTTTTGTCAGCTGCGACGCTTCTTTAGATTTGAACGTTTCCTTGGTTCGTCTCGCCCCAGCATTGCCCCCCGCCCCCAGTGTGCTTGACGTATGGATGCAGTATGATTGATGCTGGCGATCACATGGAGAGCTACCCGTAAAAATACTTTGTTTTTGCTGACTGTCGTGTCTATGAATGTATGGCATTATGTATAGTGCTGATCTCAAGGTATGGAGGTGACTGTCGCAAGTACTATAGTTTGAAACGTTAACGTTGCAAATTTAGTTAATCGTTTGTCATCCCTAGTACTCTGAAAGCGTTAAGTTAATAATCGATTACCGCTTCTAAAGGAAGAATAGAGATTATCTCTTCCACAAAAGACTACCACTCAGCTAGAGTATTGAAACCGATTTTAGAATAATTAATATCGGCCGAAAAAAATAGACTGTTCTCAAGTAAAACTTGAGCCAAGTATACATTTCAAAATTACATAACTAAACTAAACGCCATTATGATCAGCTGCTTTCTGCAATTTCTCTGCTAACACCACAATCCCATCATTATGGAATTTCTCTGGTATTTTTGGGCGAAAAATTGTCAGAAGTGATATTTCCAGCCATCGAAGTTAAAGTAACGCTATTAAGAGAATATGAGCAAATCGATAATAATCTGATGTTTCAACGCCGGGCTATATGGCGTCACCCGCCATATGGAAATTTCCATTCAAATTTTTTCAGTTTTTGCTGGATAGCATAAGATGTATTATGTCGTGGTGGAAGACGAGGCGTCCTTTGTGTACTAATTTCGGCCGACTTTTTCAATGGTTTGCTATAATTTTGTTATTTATTAATAGAAGAAGTTCCAATCAGTCGTTTTGTCATTCCTCTGCAATATCAGCTTTTTTTATCCTTATTTTGCACCCCCCCCCCCCTCCCATCAGCCATGGTCCATCGCTTTAGGACTCACTTGACCTCCTAGCGCTCTTGTGGAGTTGAAAAAAGTAAAGCTACAATCGAATATATAATTTTGCATCGTCGGTTTTTTTGTACGTGGGTTTTTCAAATGCTATTCTGACTGTTTGTTCATTTATTAGTATGAAGAGCATCCTTCACGTGGAAGTTTCTATCTATCTATCTTCGGGTCGTTTCTTCGAATAATACATTTTGACAATAAACAGCACCTGTGCCTAAATTATGTTATAAGCAAATATTATAGCAAATGCAATAATACAATTAATTTTATTACAGAAATGTTACCCAGACGATTTAATATTATTAGTTTTTCAGGCAATTTTTTTCCGATTAAGCCCTTATATGCAAACCAATTATAGATAATTGGTTCTATCAGGCCAATACAGTGTATATGAATTTTTCTATATTTGAAAACAAAAGCTTTCGTGTGTCTCTACGCAAACAGCTTTTAGGAGAGAGCTAATATGATATATTTGTCAGAGAGGGACAGAAGATTTAATAATTGGTTTGATAAAAATAATTCATTTTTCAAGCTTAAACATTGAAAAGCTTAAATGAAAAGAAGCTAAGAGCATCGACTGCTGAAGTGCTTAAATAGATCCAGCCGCCCGATGTTTAACAAAGTATTACAACAAAGAAGTCCATCGTACGATTTTTTCAATAAGTAATCCCTTATATGGGACTTCGAAGAGACGTAGCAAAGTCGTACTTTTCGTTCGTTTACACACAAGTTTGCGGTTCAGTAAGAATTGCCCTCAGCCAAAATTGCAAGATTACGGCAGTCATTTACCGGAAAAAATCTGACGCACTAACTTTTTTCCTCTCATTTCTAACTAGAAAACTAACGCATTTCCTCTCATTCGAGAGCCAAGCCGGCAAAATATTGTGAACTACCTATAGCTTTGAGAAGAATACAAATCAAGGTAAATTCACTTACCGTCAAGGAAGTGTGCTTTTCATCGATTGATCGACATAAATCACATGTTAATTTTTGATCACTAGACAGTACTATAAAATGGACAAATTCGATGGGTCAGCTGGCCTTTGCCGTCTTGTTCTTTCCGTCGTTCCTCTTATCGACTCGCACACATACTTAATACTGATCTCATGTATGAATGTTTCAAGTGATTAACAAATAACAATTCTCATGTTGACGATTGACCAAGTCACCAGTGTGCCGAGGTACGGATACATAGGGAATTGTTGCCGCTGCTTTTGCTTTAAAATGGCACCGAGTTCGCTTCAGGGGACACGGGCGCCGCCATGACACATTGATGCGCCTCTCTTCCGCTCCTGCGCTCGTATCAACTCGATTACCCTCCTCAGAGACCTCACATAGCCTCACCGGGCACCTGCGTTCGAGCCGCTCCCAGATCGCCAGCTGAGCGATTGCACTGGCCCGTGTATTTTATTGCTACAATCGCATGTTGAATCTGAGTCGAAAGATTTACACGAGACTGCGCTACTACAAACTTCGCTAAATGCAACGAATAGCTAAAGTAAAGGATTTGCCCTGGCAACATTTAGAAGACGCTTGCTATTTCCGTCCCTTTTAAAAGGTGGTTCTAACATATCGTCGCTCCGCGCTTTTTTGCCAATATCCCCATTTAGCCCCCATATTTACCCAATGATTGGCCACCTATGGTAACAATCCTATTTAGCTTTTTTTCTGTCCTTAATTTGAAGCTGCACGAAGTTATGTCTCGCCATGCTTTCATACAGTTACATTTATGTTTATTTATACATTTACTTTTATCTATACAAATACTAATAGTTAACAAATGTTACCGTCTGTCTATTTTTGCAGGGACGGAAAGCGTCCTGCCTTGTTTTTTTCCGCTGAAGCTTAAGGATTCCGCGTAACACGGCGGAGACCTTCTACGGACAGAGAGCATAACGATATGCGAATGGATAAAAGACAACTACGTATGGGTCAACGTCTTGCCAACTCCGACATATAGTTGTCGAGTATATAGCTGAATCGAAAGATGACTTGTGAGTGGGGCTTGACAACGTCTGATTAATTGGAGTACAATAGTATAACATATGAACAACTACTGGCATTATAACCATACTTTCTCATACATAAACGCATACATTACAGTCTTGCTGGTCGGGAAACTCATTTATATAATATCAACATATACAAAGTATTGTTTCTTTTCACATCTAAACTTAGCAGCGTTGATTTTTTTTTTTTTGTATTTTTGGCCTTGAAGGTATGTTAGGAAAACTCGTAGGTTCAAAATGTTCTATGCCATGCCGCCGATTGAATCGTTGTCCGGACTGCTTCAGCAATGCCTGTCTATCCACACATCTGCGTCATCAAAAGTAGTAGAAAAGAGGCAACATTTTTTCTTTACTTTTTTTAGAGGCGTTGTGGACCTACTCGAACGTATATTCTATTTACAGGAACTTTTTTTTTGCAGGAAACAGGCATGTAAAGTACAATTTTGACAGTACTACAGGAAAAACTATACTATAACCTTCAACGTTAAAGGATCAACACAATTTATTGAGTTTCGACTCGTTTGGCAGAGAAAATTGTCCATAGCATCGCTTAACATGAATGCTCGGATCTGTCAGGCTAATTAAGCTCTATGTAGCATGAAGCTTAAACGTATTGTAATATATTATCAGTGACTTAGATATGGGCGAACATTTACACGTATGAATAGGGTTACATTTTTTCAACAAGGTCTATGTGAGTTTTTTCCATTAGCCTGTTGAAAAGGAAATGAGACCTGCTTTTCTATGAAACAGCCATGCTGGCCTTTAGGAGTCAGCGGGCCCTGTGAAATTCGTGCACTCATAGATGAAAGCTGTTGTTTTAGAGAGCGATTATTTAGAGATGGTCCTTTTTCGTTTTGACTACTAGACGATGGTGGTTTCCTCGATTCAGCATTTAAATTACGTTCCCGCTGCCAGAAGCTTACGAAGATATAAAGAACCATTATGATAACGTAGATCAGACCAGCTGTTATAAAGATTACGTATTCGACCGAAATACGTTCTAGACAGCCATTAACGAGTGGACTCTCACCCAAAATGTCCGAGTTTGTATCGACAATTAGAGTCTTGCTTTGGGCTATAGACCGAAGTGATTCGTTTAGGAATGCGCGGATGTTCACAAGATAGACATGTTTAGACCGAACGGTTATTGTTACCATATTGCTGTGTGTATAAAGGCGACTGATGCCTTCAGAAGTAGGATCGGCCTCCTTCCATCCGACCTTAAAAACAACTTTAGCGCTACGATACATTTGTGGCCATTTGATATTTACGTCCACTCCTCCTAAATGCTTTGTTGAATAATGCAACGAAGTAACAATAGCTGCCCAAGAATGGTCGACGCGGTCATGGTGTAAAATATCAGGTTGATTGCCGCGCGCCGCGCCACTGAAATGTTTTTCATCACGGAACATGAGATTGTTTCGTTCGTCATTGAAGTCAAAATTAAATTCGGCGCACAACTTTTCAACTTCAGCTACTTTGCCGTTAGAATTATACGAGGTGAGCCGTATTCGAGTGAATAACTTAAGTTGGTTCGGCTGAACAGTGAAGTTCTGAAAGAACGTTTGCTCGAGTTGTTGCCAGCCAGCCGTTAGTTGATCCTGCATAGCCAGGATATAAACTAGAGGTTCAATATGGTTATAGCCAGCTGGTGTAGGCCATTCAAAGTGAACGAGATCTTTATCCTGTATGTAATTATATTTTAGTGACTGAGTGAGGTTCAGGTTTGTTGACGCTGTTTCATTTATAGGACTGTGCGAGCGGTAGAAATCACAGGACTCTTGACAGCCAGGGAACTGCGGGAGAAAATAAACAATGGATTAAATTAAAGGTCTCTGATATTTTCAATTGATCGTTCCTAGGTTAGTTTGTATTTTTGGCAATATACGAAGTCTAAGTAAATTAGTTTGCGGTCACTTGGCTACATTTATTATCAGTGCTCGTTCTATGGTGTGTGTGTGTGCTATTTAATTATCTGAATTTTGATGTTAACGGCCAATATAATTTGTATCGTACAATTAATTATATTTTTTATTCATTGATGTTAATTATTGTCTTTTGCGAACCGTGCGGACGACTAGCCCCCTGCCAAACTTGTGGAACCCTGCGTACGAACTGGGGGAAGTTGGTATCTAAGTACCGATTATGCTCGTTAGCACACAAAACGTAAAGGTAGGCAACAATACGTTTCAAAAAGAATAGACTTTACTTACGCAAGCGTGTTCCTCACTGCACATCGGACCCCATACTTTAAAGTTTTTGTAGAACATGTGACATGTGTCCCAGCACTGAAATATGTCACACAAGGCGTTCTGTGAGAATTTCCTTAGGTAGTAATTATCGCGAGGATAGCTCTACTGTACAGAGATGTTGTTACCATCAAAATTCAAGAACCTAATGCTATTTAGCAATTTTCACAAAGATAGAATTATCTTGTCGCAATTTAGATTGTCACATTTAAAAAGATATTCACCAGCCAGCACTCAGAGGTATCGACGCAGTTGCCGCTATGATCGTGAGTAACAAACTGAAAACAAAAACAGGGAGACGTTACGATATGAGTTCCGTGAGCTCATCTACGAAACGATCATAAATCATATGAAGAAGAAAAATTTAGTGAAAGATAATTAGTATGCATTCGTTTAAAAAAATATAGTGTATATATATATAGTTCCTATAAATATATCAACATATTGTGATGTATTTTTGACTCTAACCTTTTTAAGACAACGAGCTCTGCATCTGGCAACCAGAACGTCGGTATAATCCTGATCCAGCTTACTACCAAAGCCTATGGCTATCACTAAGAAAACGGCACCGATATTAAGAAACATTATGGTTTGTTTTGTAACGAATGATTTGATCTCGTCCAACCCAATACTATTTAAACCCGCTAGACGACCTGGAAAGGGTTCGGAAAGGAGAATTTCAAACCCAGATTTTCGATTAACCCAGTGCATTTCCTGGAAGGTGAACGATTTGCTTACACAAAACCAATTTGCTCTGCTTGTGGGTTACCGCATTTGATTGCGGTGGTCTAATCTATGTGAAATCAATTGCTCAATTAGATAGTCGTTGCGAAAAAATAGGTTCATAGGTCTTGTGATACAAGATATGAGCGTTAATTTCCTTTTTGCTAAATTCGACGGATTAAACAGGCAAGATTTGTGCGGAAGGCAATATCGTCTTATCTACCGAAAACATGATAAGTATATGTGATTTACTTATTAGGGCGAAATATTTATGCAGAACGTGTATGACTAACATCCAAGTCCAAGATTTTTTTGCCCGTTGATAAAGCCTTGATGCCTCCCTCTCTGACCTTTAAGAAATTTTGCGCTGTTCAAACCAAAAGAAACCATGTCACTTCTTTGAGACGGACCTTTCCGATAGGAATACACTGGGGCTTTCTACCACTTTACATACTACTAAAATGCAGGGCATATGTTATCGCCATAGAGAGCGAATTTTAAAATGTCAGTGTCTCTAAGCACATAAAACTCCCTATAGCACTGAATACAAATATGCCGTGATTCCACTAAAGCCTCGTTTTACGACGGAAATTCTTCCTAGATGGACTGAGTTAGCACATTTTGCGTGGCCACATGTGTCCACGCATCAATTGCCGTAATAGCAGTACATCCAGGCTCAAACCGCTACAGCAATGTAGAGAACCTGTCACATACATGGCCAATTTCCTATACGAAAACGCTGTCCGTGATTCTATCTCACGGACTATGTCATCATTACTAATATGAGTCAAGTCAATTCATTCATCTTGAAAGGGTCGAAATCGCTAACTTGTTTTCTTCCTACATTACCCAGTTATTTCCGTAGCTGCGTTCTACGTATTGAGATCCACGGACTGAGATCAAGCTTGTTGGCATATTAACTTGCGCAGTTCGTAAAGTTACCTGATCCAATTTGGATAAGAAGTTTTCGAAACCAGTTCCGGCGGAATATTGGTATGAACTCTATTTAGCGGGTTGACGATTGCTGGAACGTCGTTGAGGTAGGGAGACGCTTATCTGTTTCATCGACGGTCATCCCCCTGTACCATGACAGTGTGATGACCACCAATGGCCAAGCGTATCATTCATTGGTCCATTATCTGTTTACGGTTGACAGTTTTGCAATTGAAATTGGTTACGTTGTGTTGTGTTGTATTGTATTTACGGTTTTGTGTGCCATTTTCTACTCGATACAATATTGTTGCTGCACGCCGATCATTATTGCTGCTTTGTTAAGGTCGTGTTCCATTTCTCGGGGTCGACATGAGGGCTTCTAGCTGGCTTCAGGAAGGAAGCAATTCTATTATATGTGACTATACCTATCTTTTACGTTCACTATCTACCTTTGTCTACGCTTGAATGTCCTGAATACGAGTTAGTAAAATCAGTAATTGTGCCTAAACAGCCTAAAATAGAAGTAAATGTCAAAATCTAGATTTTATTGATCCACGAGTTAATATTGAGATTAAAAAAAAAAATTAATAATAATCAGAATCATTCACCTTATTAACAAATATTAACTATAAAGCAAAAACATAGCCTTAGCTTCAGAACAAAAATTGTATTGTGTTTAATCAATTAACCTTAAGAATAGGTACATTGATTATTCTTGCCTGCTTTCCAATACGATTGCTAACCAATGCTGAGAATGGGGTACTCAAAGGAGATATTCAATCCAAACATAACTATTGGATTTTCGGAAAATTATTAACCCTTTTTCTAGCTAGATTGCTTTAAAAATCACACATCCAAGGTAAGCGGAGTCGCGTTATGTCCATGCTAGTGTCATTTGAAAGACGAACTCTGTCAGTAAAAGAAGAGCTACTGAGTCTGTTAAATTGCCTTCACTCAGACTTAAAATAGAGCGATTTGACCACTTGCAAAATTTTTGCAAAAATTCCTTATATTTAGCAATCTTAGTACCATAAGGATACAAGTGTTACCCAGGTCCATAGAAGAAAATCTGTTAGTCATGGTCAGGGTGCGTGATTGGCAGAAACGGCCCAAGAATGCTTCTGTGCTGGAAATCTTCTTCTCACAGTCGTGGACCAATCACAGAAAAAGCCGATGAAATTTTGTGAAACTTGAGGTCGACAGGGACGTAAGTAGTCAAGGTTTTGTCAATTAACTAAACATCCACCCCCAAAACAGTTTGGAACATAGGCTACAAAAAAAACCCGATGTACAAGTGCAAAAGATTATAGCCGTTTGTATCTCTAATTCCAAAATTCCACAGGAACACAACGAAATTAAGGAAGTTCTTAAACAGTCAAAAAAATAAATGTGCAATTAAAAAAAATGCTCTCTAGGCAAAATCTATAGCGAAGATTAGATCGATGCTAAAGAAAAGGACGTGTGTATGTGTTTGATGGCACTGGAAAGGAATCGTGCATTATAAGATGCTGTCGTCTGACAAAACGATTGATTCGGATCTTTACTATCAACGGCTCGCAAGTAACGACAAGCCATTGAAAACAAGTAGGCCGAAATCAATGAAACAGACGGGCGTCGTCTTCCATCACGACAGTATCCGACCACGTCCAATTTTAGCTATCGACAGAAGTAGACAGAACTTCGGTAAGGTATTTTATTGCATCCGACGCATAGTCTGGATCTTGCATTACTAGACTGTAATTTTTCTCGATCTCTGCAGGACCCTCTTAAAGGTGTCAATTTGGTTTGAATAGAGAGATGGATGCAAAAATCAGCTGCTACAAAAGTTTTCCATGGGGTTATCACGTTTCCGCAAAAGTTACGAAAGGTCGTTGACGAAAATGACGGATATTTCACCTAGTACTACTATTTTGAAGTATAAAGGAATAGTTGCATTAATGTTGGCTTGCAAACGGTTGGTGTCTCTTCCAGCAACCCAATATTACAATAGAAGAGCTTAGATCAGATTTTACTTTTTCTTGTAGTGCTACCACTTAAAGGTTGAACACGCCTTCAATTTGATTCTTCTATACAGCGGTACATTCTGATCTATTACATGTACCTATTTCTGATTTTGATAAAAATATAGGAATCCACAGCTGACCTGTTACCAAGCAACTTCTTTACTGAAATATGCGTTTAATTAGCTTTACCTTTACATAGGGTGTCTTACCAGTCTTGGATTTGTCGTGTTATTTTCTGCAAGGATATATATATATATATATATGTGTTGTTGGCATTGCTAACGGTACAAGCATCATTGAACCGTTGAAGACACATTTGGCGGAAGAGTTGGCGGTATCCAATGCTGGAAGTCAGTGTTGAAAAGTCTATGCCGTCTCCCACAAGCAAAATAAGTAGTCTGTTTATTTCTAAAATATTTGCTTTCAAGCTGCTTACTCAATCCCTAGTGGCCCCTCAGCGCTGTGACGGATCGGGTTTTGTCGAACGTTGAAAACTATTGGAGACGGCTGCCATACGCTCAAGTAAGTAAATAATCAAATGCTAGTTGGTTAAGTGACAGTGAAACCTTGCCTCTATACACCCTTTTTTAAAAGGATGATATATTATTATTATGAAGCACCTTTGAAAAAGTTCGATGATAACTTAACTGTAATTGAATGAAAATGTGTCTTCGTAACTGAGTCGTTGGCTGATTTTGGTTGTAGTTCAAATCAGTTCAGCTGTCGTGTATTTAAGAGAAACTACTGTTTGACTTTGCCTCATACTAAGGGCAACAAAAGAGGTAACCCAAACATTTTTACCGCAGTGTTTTTAAATAAGGGTTCATAAAAGTAATGGCTTGTTTTAGTTTTAGTTGAAAACAACTAAGTTAAAAGTAAGGTAGATTACTTCTAAAAACATCGAAGCAAATTGTTTTTTTTTTTCATACAGAACTGAACCGTTCCGCATTTAAGGAAGCTTAGTTAAAATAGAGAGGTTTACGCCGAATGGAACCGCCTACCAAAATTTTAACACACTGCGGTTTGTTTCTGGATGCAACCAACGAATAAGAAATGTTTTTTTTTGTAACTATCAATGCTTATCATATAGCTATCATATTCATGCTATGATGCAAATTGAACCCCAAAACGGAAAGACAGTTAAGCCCCAGACTGTTTACGTGGCTGACTAGTACCTGGAGCAGGTAAAAGCAGGAGCAGATAGCGGCAAGGAGAGCGAATTACTTTAATTAATATTTGCGAAGTAGGTAAAGTTGAAGTAAATCTATAATAGATTCTGCAGGCTACTTGGGGTCGTATGCGATTGCTCATAGAAGGTAAAAGTTTTACCGAGGAAAAGAGTTTGCACACAACTGCAAGGTTCTTTCTGACTAGGTTTCCTATTGCGTACCGCAAACATCTATGATCTAAAAACACAAATTCTTCAAGTTGACTAGACTTTTGGCACAACTTATCCTTACTATTCAATGCAAATACAAACGATACGCAAATGATGCCATAGTTTTAAATGTTTCCTATCAATGAAATAAACGTTTATAATATTACTCATTCAATTTACATATTCCTTGGTTGACGTTTGACTTAGCCCCCATACCCAGGGTGGCAAGATTGCTATCCGTAGATCCGTGACTGTGAAAATATTAACTTTGAAAGTTTAGTACAGTGCATGTTTATTTTCGAATTCTCATCTGTACATCAGTATTAGGTAAGCATATTAAGAATTTGCCTGTAATAGGGTTATCGCAAATGAATAAACTGGGGCTAAATCACTCGTTTTTTTTACAAATATAATAACAAATAAATAAGAATAACATTTTACAGAATTCGAGATACCGAATAGTAGTAGATGCAGTTAGGGCGATTGTTTTACTTTTGCCGTAGATGTCGTTATAGAACTTTACATAGTGCTATAAAGATAACCCAAGT